ACTTTATGGCAAGTGGAAGAACGTGGTGCTCAATAACGTAATTAGAATAACTCTGTAATGAAACTTTAGCGGAATTTAATGAATTTCTTTTTCAAACTAAGCATTCGTTGATAGCACAATACTTAGAAGAATGCAACTGGAAGGTTGTTCAAGCTAAAAATGACTCACGCGTTTCACCCTTCGCCCCCTGAACGTGCTTTTGGCAACATTCCTAAATGCCAAATAGAATTAATCGTTCCGACATTGTACGATTGTGTGCTAAATATAGTTCCTCAACTCAATTCATCTAACTTTCACGTTTTACCTGATCCAAAAACAGAGCGTAAAAATAACTGTTTAGTCTACAATTTCTTGATTTACGACCAACTTCATAGAGCGATTACGAATTATTAGTTGAATTATTATCCCCCTAATTCGTAATTTTAGAATCTATTTTCTGTCGCGGTCCCCGTCGAAAGGAGAAAGGAGAAAAAACGTTGCACAACGGTGTTAAAGTTACAGCTTGTTTTCCTACGTCGGTCCTCGACGATTTTTATCGACTCGCGAGCCGTTTTTCACCCGACGGACGGTTTTGTTATTTTTTTGTTCGTTCAAACAGCTCGTTAGCGCCAGAATGTGTGGGAGTTACGAGCTGCGAAATAGTTCGTTCGAAAACGCGAACGCATGTAGCTACCGATGGCGACATGAGGATAATATTTCGATGATGTATGGGTCCCCATCCAAAACCTAAACGTACAGCTTTATTATCGACAAATTAACGACAAGCTACCCAACCAACTTAGTCATAGTCGTTTACAGACCGTTGAGTCATCATTTCACTATTAATATTTAACACACGCTTTTGCAAATAAACATTTTACTTCCTGTATATAGAAAGTATTTATCGTGTGTTATTAAGTTGTTAACGACCTAATAAATTTTTATACCGACAATAACTCATCGTAAAATTGAAAATGTTTAAAATGTTAATGTGGTTTATGGATTCTACAACATGTTTTATTATAACAGATTTTTTTTTGTTATAATATATCATATAACAGTTAAATTACAGAGTATTATGGTTGATTCATGATATAGAAAGAAAGTCGCCATTTAAGGTTGTTGACACGCATTCGAATACATTTTCGACGCTCGAAAGGAGTGATTAGAGTTAAATTACTGGTCGTAAATCATCGATAAATGTCGATAGTTTACACAATCGAACATTATCGATACTTTTTAATGGGTTCTAAAAAAATGTTTAACGATTTTTTACTATTGAATGTATATACAAGAGAAAAGGTCATTCATATACTTAGTCCCGAAAGTTTTTAAAATTATGTCGTACAGAGTGTCGAAAATTGCTATCTTGCTGAGGAAAACGAATCATTAAACAAATTTTGGACAAGTTCCCCAAAAATAACAGCACCTTCAAAATGAAGTTAATAAAAGTGCAGAAACTGTAAGAACAGCTTTGCGATGTGTCTCTATATTAGAAACTCTATATTAAAACAATAGAACAATAATAGAAAGAAGCGTACTTTTTCTGACGAGTCAAAATATTTTTTTATGTGATAATTTTGGTCATGGAAATCCTCATGGAATATCACCCATGCGACGATGGCGACAAACCTCCCAGCAACAAATTTTTGCCCGTAATTTCTTATCTACTTTCTTAGCTAATATCTTCCTTATTATTAGAGATAGCGAAAAAACTGAATGCATCATTTGAAAGCTTGATTCTTTCTCTATCTAAAACCGGATTGCCGATAAGTTGATACTAAGATCAATAAAAAATGAAGAAAACCGCTCTGTACTTGAAATAGCTAAAATTTACCAAACTTCAAGCCCTTGTGCAATTGTTATCAAATCGAATTTTACAAAACTGTTATCATAGTCAGAAAGAGCGCTCCTTCAACTATCTTAATCCGCGTTTTTGTCGGTCAATATGATCTATCGGCGTCATGCTTAAATCACCTTTAATATACATCCCTAAACGCAGAAACGCGTGTTAATTGCTCTTCCTCTAAACAACTTTAACTATTTTACTATAACTTTAAAAAAAAATCATAGATTATGTAAGCTATGGGTTATTAATAATTGTTATTAAATTAATTAATAATAGTTAAAGGAGCGCTCTTTCTGACTGTAATAACAGTTTTTTAAAATTCGGTTTGATAACAATTGCACAAGGGCTTAAAGTTTGGTAATTTTGAGCTATTTTAAGCACAGAGCGGTGTTCTACATTTTTTATACGAAACTACCCGGTTTTACATAGAGAATAAATCAAGCTTTCAAATGATGCATTTAGTTTTTCGCTGTCTCTAATAATAAGGAAGATATCAGTTAAGAAAGTAGATAGGAAATTACGGGTAAAAGATTGTTGCTGGGAGGTTTGTTGCCATCGTTGCACGGGTTTTTATATCATGTCTAGGATTATTTACTAAAAGCTATAATAAGACTAAACAGACTAAATACCTTGAAATATCTAGAGAAGACCAGGGCTCAAATTGAGCTGCATCGCCATTGATGATGATGATGATTATAAAATACAACGTTATTAGTAAGGAATCACTAAAACTTTTATTTCAAGTATAGTGAAATAAAACTATACGCTTATATCCTGCATCACTAAAAAACTAGTCTAAATCAATGTGGTTAAAATGAGTAAAAGAATACAGAGAATACGATGCTATTTTATAACGCATACTGTGTTTCTCAAAATCTTCAGTTGATGTAGGGAAATCCGGAAAAACAAACAAAGAAGAGAACAATAGGTTTTTTACGCTTTTCAAGCAATTTTTAAATAAGTTGACATAAAAATTTCGTTCCCTTAATTTTGTTGTTTCAACCGATCTTTGCATCATGTTATATACATTTATGTATAATACGTCGTTGACTCGCATTTCTTGTCGAAAAAGATTAAAGAAAATGATATTAATGGAAATATTTATATTTAAATTATTGCGACTTTCGATTGAAATATTATCTGTATAAAAAAATCAAGTTTCTGCGATAACAACATCGAGTTATTTGATGTTATTACACCCTATGATAAAAATAAATGGAGTTGAATCAAAATAAAGTATAAAGGCGGCTCTATTACACAATGGAAATAAAAAGCAATGCATTCCGATTACTCATGCCATACAATCGACGGAATGCTATCGTACAATGCGTAAAATTTGCAAAAATTGAAAATGAATTCACAAAATTTTTGGAAAAAAAGTTCTTATTCGATCTCTTTCCCAAATAGTCATTTTCTAAAACCAAAGAAGGAGTATGTGGCACCTGATACTCTTTCTAGGTATCTTGGTATCTTGGATCTAGGTATCTAGGTATCTTGGACAAATCAAACGGTAAGCAAGAAAAACGCATTCACAATAAGAATATCTATTCTTCAGTATCAACCTCAGAACCCAGTGATAATTAAGTCTGCTGTGTTCTTACGACGATATTACGTGGTAATAGAAAACTCTTGCTTCTAAATCAAGCCAAAATGTGGGACCCAAAATCCATGATTACGAATCATGAAATCGTCGTTTATTCTGATCTCTTTTAACTCTTGATTAATTTTGCTGTACTGCCGAACATACTGAATAACATCTGTGTTCAATCGGATTAAATGTTGTGCGTATGATGATTTCGCCAATGTTGAAGATACAACTGGTACTATTAGATGATATGGAACTTCAACAATTTTTTCAGTTACTAAAATTTAGAAGATTACTCAAAGATTTTTCTGTAAAATCTGTTTTATTTAGATATATTACAAACTATTTCAAATCTATATTTTGTAACCAATGTTCCAATTGGTAAATCACGTAAGTTCTCGTAACACTATTTTGTAATTATCGTTAGTTACAGGAGAACCTTTAATAGATTAAAAGCTTCCCCTTTTAAGGATGTAACGAGATTTTCATTAACGATTGTTCGGTATAAATCAAAAAAAGTACCGAATCCAGCGCATTTCCGTTATATGTACGAATTTATTTAGGTCAGAATCTCCATTTGTGATAATTTGTGGGAATGGTAATCTTATTACAAACAATTTTGAATTAAAGTAGATATCATCAGGAAGGATATCACATGGTTTCGAAGAGAATATTTTCACGTCACTAAACCAGAACGATACCGCAACAGTGAGAATGTTAGATAGTAAATGTCTGGAGTTTATATTCTACATTGAGGAAATTTATTTATATGGGAACATTCGCGCGAATAGTCCTGACTTAAATGAGTCTGGTAGAAATGAACTGCTCCGCCTACATTACAACTCGGACTAGCATCCCAACTTAAACTATTATGTTGAGCTGTAATATTTATAAACGAGCCCCTTATATAATTAAGAGAAGGGGTAATTCTTAGGGTTAAGTAGCAATTTAGAATTAGTTTAAATGAAAATTGTTATAAGCTGTTATCGGCTTATCTGAAAATTGTTATCGGCTGAATTTAAAGTTGTTATATTTAACGAAACGATTTTAGGGAAATCTTTTAATATTAGCCAACGAGATCATTATATAATTAGATATTGGCATAACCGTAACATTAATGGGATTGTTCCACATGCATTTTGAGATATTAACAGTATTAAGGGACAATACCATCATTGTCTAACCAGCTATAACAATTAGGACGATGATTTGATGATACTCTAGTGTATATTATCAAGATATTAATCAAAATTTACATTTATGTACAACAGGAAACTTGTAATTAAACTTAATTAATAATTACTAAAATTCAATAAACGTTCTTTTCTATTTCTTGAAATAACGTCTGTTTACTGGTAACATCAAGGTTTTCCTTTATAAATTAGATTAACCCGCACACGACAATAGAATCTAACCAAACCCGGGATTTCGAAACTTCCCCCTCGGTTTCATCGTCAGAGACATCCAAAATGGAGTTGTCGTGTACTGAGACAATAGACAGTTCCGATTTCTATATCATCTTGTTTCCTATCCTTCTCATAAACATGCACACACGGCGTACGCGTCTGGATGTTTCGTGGTACTTACTTCCAAACTAGTATAATTCCTATGAAGACAGCGAGTCCGAGCAACACGGAACACAGCACTATCACAGCCGAGGTCTGGAAGGAAGGACTGCTACGGTAACTGGCATCTATCAGCTGAAACAAAAAGTAAAATAAAGGTTCACTGAAATGTTACATCGTTGAGTTTGCGAAATAAAGGAAAAGAAGATAAAAAACCCTCTCTTTGCGTTATCGTGTATATGCGTTGCACGTAAGAACATTGTAAATAACCGAGAGCCTGGTTATTTTTTCAAAGGGGAAATGAAAAATAAAAACGGGAGGAAAGTGGGACAAATGATAATCTTTACGGTGTTAGGGAGATCTCCATGTTGACACGAGGTGGCGTCGTCACGTCCATCGTAAGAACCCCGGTAAACAAGAAGGGAGGCCACATCCCAACTGGGAGCTTTTTTTAAAATAAAGGTCACGTCCGACGTTTCATGTTATCTTTTCGCCCGATGACATGTATTTTGTAAAGAAGCTTTTTTGTTTCATCAAACTAATTAGATCTAAATAAAACAAAATATCTAAGTATTCTAAATGATTTGAGTAATATTAACTTACAGATTATTACGTGCCATTTCCGTGATCGTTTTTTACCGGAAACGGGACCGGGGTATTTTCACCCTCCCTATAAATTTAATAATCGCGATATTTGAATGCCGTTCCAGTCACCGCATTTCTAGAGGGTGAATATTAATTAATCGCAATAACTTTCGATGATGATTCTTCATGAAACTGAAACGAAAACGCGTTTATTCGCACGTAGTTTCAACAGGGGCTCATAACTAATTCAAACTGTGCTTCGTTTAATTAAGTAAACGGGCCCACAGCGGGACATAACCTGGCGAACTAATCTCGGGCCCTCCCAGAGTCAAAACGACACCCCAAACCACCACCGAAACTTTGATGGGGTCCGTCTTGGCACGTCTCGTAGCAAAACCGACGCTTGGAGAAGCGTCTACTAATAACTAAACTTTCCAGAATTAATCTGACGCCTACTGTGGATATCTCATTAGAACGCTCCGAGCAAAGTACGGAAACTATATTTATATAGGTTTACATTTCACATATATTAATCAGAATGTGGATTTGGATTAAAACTTTACGGATAAAAATAAAATATTTAAAATTTTTTTAAATTCTTTCTTTCAAAGAACCATCAACCACATTGATCGGGTGCATTCTGAAAGAAAAGCTCGATTGTAAAGTGCACCTTCCGGACCTTCAGCTTTCAAAACTTTACAAAGAGCTTCTGTTTGATCTGCACTTGACAAATATTGACGCTCTCGCACTCGAACGGTGGCCAACGTACGCGAACGCCGAATGGACCACACTAGAAAATGGTTGTTTACGCTTCTCACACGTTCGTTAAAGTCACTATGTACGAGAAAACGTAAACAGTATTGTTCAAAACTACTTTGTGTCATCGTTTTAAAGAGGCGAAGAACTTATTTACACGTCACTTCAATCCTTAATGAAAATTTTGAAATATTGTGATAAAATCAATCGTAAAGGTAGTTTTTATAAAAGATTCAAAAATATGTACGTAAAATTATTTCCACCATTGAACTTATCTTCCTAAATCGATTTTGATCGTAAAAGTTAAACGAAAACTTTTCCTCGGCACATGACAGCTTTCCCAACGCAAAAGTCGAAGGTCAACGTTACATGGTACTTGACCTCGATCTAGTCTTATCACGATGGGCAGTCCGCCCACCATCCGACAAGATTTTAATCAAGATAGAGCACCTTTGAGTACACTCGACCGATTTTCCTCCTGAAACTTTTCAAATTGAAAACGTTGACAGCACAAGGGTCTCAAAAATCTTTACACATACAAATTCGGTGTAATAAATTGATCTATCCGGCTATTAAAATTCTCGACGTCGAAACACGTTAACGCAATCATTACCGTTTGAAAGCAACTTGAGCCCGTCATTAAATCGTCATTAAGCACATGGGTATGGCGCGTCGAGGAGACCAAAAACAGTAGTCCCAACGTAATAGCAATCATAAACGCATAACCGCGGACAATAAATCTAACGTTAACTCTCCAGAGAGATAAATGATACATTGTGAAGAGGAGAGGCCGCTGTGCCGTCATCGGTCGACCATCATTTTTCAACTCACGAGTAATTAATACTCCATTAATTCCGTCGATTGCCGGCAGTCTCTGCTTCTCAATCAATGCGTGCCGTCATCTGGTAGCATCGGGAAAATAATTACACTTGTTTACTACCTAAAGGATCAAGACCCATCGTAAATTATTCGCAATTAAGTGAGTAAATAAAAACGAGAAAATAAAGGTCAATATTGAAAGGGATTTACGTTATCCAATTATCTTCTGTGCGTACAAATCCTTACTAACATATCAAGAATTAATCACATACTACGTTTGGAATTGACACCAATAACTTAAGTATTATAATCGTATTAAAACAGATCGGTCAGTGACTTAAACGAGTTTCAATTTGAATTTAACGGGTGATTTAAGTTCAAAGTTTACCTTTGGGTTGCGCCATTAGGGAATATAGCGAAGCAACAAGGTAATGGATAAAGATGGGATTTTATTTCCTCTATCCCAAATCTTTAATATTTCTATATTAAGTAAGTGTTACCTGGAACAACCCAGCACAACATGTATTAGTTATGGTCTCGCGTGGCTTGATTGCCTCCCATTGTTTCCATCACGAACACACAGTGCGTGATGCCGGTTAATGCTTCATCAAGAGGGGTTGGATTTCCCGGGGGCGGTTTTGGTCGCAATGCGTATGCAAAATTTCTATTTGACGAATCGATTTGGCCAAACATTGTGGGGGATGAACAAAACTGGGAATAAATACTGAATTTACTTTGTATATATTAACAGGGTATTTTTATTGCTACAATTTATTTAACGCAGGTGTGAATAATGTTGAGGTTGGTAACTTATATTTTCATGTAGAGTATCGTATAACGTGGTCAACGAGATGGCTGGGCCGGTTCGAAGCTCGAGCAAGCGTATTGTCACTATACAATGCGATCTCATTGAAGCCGTTTCGTTGTAAGGTCTTTTTTTGCACGTTCCTCGAACAGGTTATGAATTACAACGCAGTCGAGCGGCGGCGCAATGTTCCATAAACACTGTCAACGCAAAATGCAACGACTCTATCTACAATATCAACTCCAGTGAAATTCATGATATTTGAATTTAATACTTTTTCTCTTTTTAAAACGTTAAATGTTATAATGTTGATATTTTAGTTTTATTACCTCGAAATAACATATTTCGTACCCAAAACCAACATTTTCTCTTTTATAGGACACGTTTATCCTGCCATTAAACCGTTTTATAGGCAACGTTTTTATTCCGGGTGATTTCCAAAAAGTGAGGGCTCTAAATTTTTTATATACGATTCGAAAGCTCGGTTTAAGATTCAAGATTGTCGTCAAAGCATCACTTAAAACCAAATCGACATGACCGGTACTGACACGTTTACGTTCGGAACATTTACATCTCGAATAAGTAAAGGGAAAGGACACGATTTTATCGGCACCGCGTTCTCGTTTAAATAAGTGAGGAGGTAATTGCGGCTCATCGCTGAGGATCGCGTGCGTATAAAGCACATTTTTATGTAAAACAACACCGTCGTGTTTACCTACGAAGCGCGTTATTGTCCGCTCGACGAGTAGACGCATAAAAATTTTACTACCTAGGACCGCTGAATTATTCAACTGATGTGGGATGCCCATGATCGATACTTTTATTTAAGAACCCTTTCTAGATATAAAAGATCCGCTTAGAAATAAGTAAACAAAAACGATTTTGAAAACACTTATTTAATATTTTCAAAACATTTTAGTTAAGGTATTGGAACTTTAGATCAAAACACATCTCGAAATACATGGTTATTTTATGTGGGACTTGTACTATTTGAAATAAACTAAAAACACTTAAGAGAAAAAAAGTAAACCTAAAATTCCATCATAACATATAAATCAATTTATTTCTATAGAATTTACAGTGTAATGCATCTCAGTGTCGATGTTATCTAACCATCATTAAGCTTTCGAGCATCACGGTTCCACGACTATGTGCATTTGAGGTACACATTAATCTCCACATCATCATAGATGTTCCAGAATCTCTGTCCAAGTCTAAAATAAACCACACGTTTTTTCCGAGTAATTATGTTCATCAAGTACTTCGTTTTGGGTATCAACTGTAACCAACATGCATAGTTCTCCAATTCAAAAGACATCAAAATCATTTTTTTGTATGTAATCATCTTTCTCAAGTGTGCTCAAGTTGTTTGTAATTGTTTAGAAGGATTTTGATTCACACCAATCAGTTTCTACTATGGTTTAAATTGTATAAATTTTATGGGAAACATACCCATTAACTTTTTTAACATTTTTCGTCTTTATTTCTTAAGCTGAAAATGTTTTTAATTGGTTTAAATCATTTTGACACATACTTATCACTTTGTTCTATTTCCTGATAATTTCATGCCTTGCTTCTTCTTCAACCAGTTAGTTTATGGGAACAACCTCAGAAACTGTTCGATAAGTTGATTCTATTTATAGACGTCAACATGTTTCCGTATCTTTTATGATTTTAGAGTGTTTTTCCAGGTTATATATGATCATCGACGACATCGTGATTGTCAAATTTACTGTCATTAGAGTGTTAACAACTTATGGTAGTAGTATATTGCTTTTTTGGTACATTATACAACGTGTTTTGTCATAATCATCTTTTTCTTTTATATGCACATTCTTAGAATCTTAACTTTATCCACACTACGAATTCTCTCGTCGTTTATCCCTATGGTCACACTTCTTTTCTGGATTGCCACTCATAACCAAACATCCTCCGATTTCACTGTTACCCTTCATTCTTTATCTTATATTCGTTTGTACATGCCATCAAGTTTACTCCAACCTCTAAGGCCTATTCTTAAAGGTTATCTCATAATACAGACTTCTTAGGATTGCCGCATGTAACTTGAATCCATAAAGCATTCACTTCCTTTTAAAGTATTTCCCTAAGGATATTTCAAGTATCTTTCCACTGGTGTTGCCCAAGCAGTATGTCCCTAACTCTGCTCCAA